AGTAGATGACTGTAATGCCTGCCTGTCTGAACAACTGAGAATAAAAACGGAGTTCTAATAAAACCTAATAACCTGCTACTCATTCTTTCGTTTGGATAGGGTGAAGTGGGAGGTTCAGAACGAAAAATCACAATGAATGATCTAAAAGAAACAGACTATATATATTAAGACTTGCCTTTGAAATCCAAGCCCTAGAACCTCTGATGGTATCACAACAATCACGTCACATGTTCTTTGATAGCCTCAAATAACAGATAATGATGGTTCCAACCATGTTAACACGTGAAAGAAATCGAACAAGAACAAAATATTTATTTCAATGCATCACAACCTTTCAACTGCCTCAGACGAGGGTTTGGAACATCCAACCGAGAGGAAGCTGTCTTCTACTTGTGAATCAACGCTTTTGAAAAATTTTAACATCAAATAATAACGAATATAAGATAAATTAAGTGAAGAAAAGCTTAGATTAAATTTTAAAATAATGAAAAATTTTCAAAAATTTCGAAATTTGAGAAATTGGTCTCGACGCGATCAGGATTCTTAATATTATTGGAATGGGTTGAGGCAAGGTGGCCTCCGAACGGATCCTGAACATTTTATCAAAAAATATAGACAATTTGGTACTGTTTTTTTTTTAATTTCGAAGAGCCGTTTTTGTTGAGTTGTTCAGTAGAATGATTGCCAGATCTTCTCAATCAACCATTTTTCATTTGTTCTAAACTCTTGCTGCTTTTTCGTTTTCAATCTTTTTTTCTCTTCCGTTCTTATTCAATTCTATGTTTGTGAAAACTTCAAAAGTTAAATTATAATTTATACAAATAATTCAATTTTCATAAGAATAACCAATTATAAGCAATATGACCGTGGATTTTCCAAAGATTAGAAAGTTGAAGAACCCAATACCCGCTCTGAACGGTCAAGTTCCAAATCAGAAATGCTCAAATCAATCAAAAAATGAAAGAAAAATACAAACAATGAGCGTATAATCGTAACACAGAAGGAAATTAAGGCCACATAAATGATAAAAATATGATTTGAAAAAGAAAAAACTTCACACGGTCGTTTTTGCCCTTTTCGATTTACCCTTAGAGGTGACCAAAAAAGGTCACACACAATATGTGTAAAAAAAAGTTATTAAAATGTTAGAAGAAAGCTCCGGTCACAAAAATAATTATGCCAAATAGTTAAGAAGATATATAAGAACTATGGGATACAGCATGCTCGAATAGAAATTTGTAATTATTTTAGACCGGGGAATACATAAAATGAAACCGTTAGGAGCTTAGACACTCTTCAACAGCATCGAAAATCAGTAAAATAAATAGTTCTGTACATGGAAGTTCTCAGAAAGTGTTAGTTCGTTGAAGTTAATAAAAAATGTACAAGTATTGGCACAACCTGTTTTGTTCAAACAATAAACTTCTCAGAATTATTAGAATGAAGGAGGAGATCTTTCCAACTATTGACTATCCGATAGGTGGAGACCCGAATCCGTCGTGTCATTTCCATCATTTTTTTCCTAAAAGTATATTATTTATGTTAAGGTCATTATTACTCACCAAAGGTCGATCCTCTATTTCAGTGTTTGATTCTTCTTCTGCCAAGCCATGCAGAGCTGGAACTCTAACCGTCATATCAGCTATCAAAGCGTTCATGTCTTCCGATGCTAAGGATAATGCATCACCATTGGAACACATGGATGCATGGGAGTTCTGAAATCAGAAACGTTATATACAAATATGTGGGAGCAACATACGGAATCATCATCAATATCACATATTGAGCTTCCTCGCAATTGATTCTGAGTCCATTTTTCAGCCTTCTTCATTTCCAACTGCGTTATGTTTTGTCGCAATTCTTGAATAGTTTGCATGGCTTCAGAGTACTTCAATCTCTCCATCATCCGCTGTTCGTTCATTTCAGATTCTTTTTCAATACACTTTTGCTTTTCAGATCGAATAGTTGCTTCCAGCTCTTTGGAGCTTTTCTGTGATAGTGTTAAATCTTCTCGAATCCTTTTTACTTCTTCATCCTGGCGCTTCAACTGATTCGTGCAAACGTGATTCTGTGTCTCAAGTTCCATAACCTACAAAAACTTTTTTTGAAAAGCTGGGGATACGAAAATTTACTTTTTGACGCATTTCCTTCAACTCAGCTAAAGTATCAGCCTCCTTAATCCGCACACCCATGAGCTGATCTTCCAATTCTTTCACTGTAATTCCGTCATCTTCACTAACTGATCCCATAAAAGAAGCTGTGATCTTGGCTAATCTTGCTCTATAACCAAATTTATCACCACATTACTCCATATCATATCTAACCTTGCAGAAGTCAATGGTGGACTTGGATTGGATGGAGTTTGAGGCTCTTGAGAAGTAGAGTCTTTTTCTATAGCAGCAGTAGTCGGGTCAAAAGCTCTTGTGTGCACATATTTCTAGAATAAAAAACTCAATGATGATAGGAAGTTACAGATTTAGATCTGTAAAATTATCACGTACCGCCCAATGTTGTTCTAAGTCAGCTAGCCTCTGTCGCATTTCTTTCAAGGCCAATAAACTCTCTGCTTCTCTCATTTTTGCGGAAATGAGTTCTTCTTGCAAACTGGCAACATCCTCTGAAGGTTCATGTTCCCTCAAGCGCTTATTAGCCAATTCAAGCTCCTGAAAAATTTTGTGAGAAAAAAAGAAATACTGAACAAAATGAATTGCTTTTGGTTCATAAAAAGATTTTAGTCGAAACCTATTACTCATAGGTGGAAACAAACGAATTACTTAAGATGTCAAGAAAAAATGAATGGGTTGTAGAGGGAACTCACAGATACTCGGTTTTTACAATCTCGAATAATGTTCTCATTATCTGCTTGACGTGTGTGCCCTTCAATAATCTCTTGTTGAAGTGAATGGATATGTTCTATCATAGAGGTGTCATCTACTTGAGCTTCTTTGTCAACCAAATTGCCTCTACGAGAGCACGACAATTCCCTAAACGAGATGTTCTTCATAAATCCTTTATCCATGGTTACCTGATTGTTTCATAAGCATCTTCTAACTTTCTATGAGCATCCGTGTTAATATCTCTCAGTTTAGATAACTCATGTGCGATGTTTATACAGTTTTCAGCTTCTTGTGCCAAATTAACTTGCCCTTTGACAAGCCTGTCTGCCAAAGCTGCTGATTCCGCTTCCAAATAATCAATTCGTTGACGAAGAAGTCGGTTTTCGGTTCGTAATCTCTGAAAACACAAGCTTGAAAAATAATAAAGCTCCATTATTTCTTTAAACAAAAGGGTTGAAGTATACTTGAGGCCATGTCAGGAATGTTTGAACTCCGGATTTAACATTCTCAAGTGAGCTCACACCCATAATTTCTTACAAAGAAATGAGTTGTAATGCGATGAGGATGTATCAGGAGCAGTTCGTAAAGGATGGATCTTTCATAAAGTTATCCCTCATTATTACACCTTCGGGAGGTAACTGGACACACAAGGGGTCAAATAGACAAACTAAATGACTCAGAAACTCTTTTATTCTTTTCCGCCCTTATTGTCAGAAAGAGAAAAGAGTTTTCTTTCTCAGAATTTCTTCCTACCGCGTGAACGAGAACTAATGACGTTTACCAACAAACAGAAATCTCGCACATTTCCTTGTTTAGAAGACTTTCTAAGAGGAATATCAAATTATACAGTCACATAACTATACATTGCATGTTTGGTTCAACGAACACCACTCTATGAATAGATGGCGATTAGCTCTTATGTATTTCATATAAATCACACAATGACCATACATGGAAATAATTATATTTTGTTCGCTTTTCCGTTCACAACCTGTTCCGGAAAACTGGATGTTGCCACATCTCTCTCTCTCTCTTCTAGTCTCCGTCTTTCTTTCCCTCTTGTGATAAATAGTAATCAAAATATTAAGTCGTGAAGACAAAGAACTCTTTAGTTCTTAGTTGACAGCCCGAACTTGTTTTCTTGATTTCTGCATCTCATACTATATGTATATTCAACTCGCAATCAACTACACGTTTGAGTTTTGAGGAAAGTACATCAAAGACTTTAATTGACATGAACAAACTGGAATTTCTTTTAAGGAAGAATGAAAACTGTGTAAAATCAGTGGGTTCCGACTTCTCGCCATTTCATACAAGAAAGTACAAATGAAACGAAGTGAGAGGAGAGTTGCTTTAAATATGAAGATAAGGGGATTTGATATTAAATTGAGTTCATTACGCCATTGATAAGATGTTACGGCCAAATACGATTAAACGAAGATGATGGATTGTGAGAAACAGGAACAGAGAGATAGAGAGAGAGGGTGCGACTTCATCAATAATCAATCAACAAACGTTATGCAAAGGTTAGCAGGGTCTATAACTTCTCAAAGAATCAATTGCAACACCCAAAAAAAGATGTTGTTATGAATCATGTGGACAAATTCATAGATCAATCAATGCTTCAAAATGAATCATCGAGACGACATTTTGCATCGTCAACTATTCAAAATTTCATTTACGGGAAGGGAATGAGAGTGTTTGCCCTAAACTTGTATCTTTTGAACGTCGAGGTGAAAATCCGCTAGTTCAAATGGTTTCAAAGTATCAATTTGGAAGAGATGAGAACAAATAAATCTCAAAACAATGCGGGAGTTTGTTTTATTTTTCAAGATGAGCAGCAACAACGAAAATCGTAAGTCAATCAGATCGCAAATCAGAAATTCAATCTGGCTTCCTCTGACGAACGAAAAGTAAATTCAACGACAGCTTTCGAATCGTTCTTGTCGTCGTCCGTCTTTAACACAACAGGACATTCATGATGAAGACAAGGAGAAGCTGAAGCACGACGACCACCACGACGGCGACATCGAAGAAGATCAGATTTCTATGTGTATGAGAGGCAGCAGTCCCGATTGACAAAGTGAGAAGGGGAGAGAAAACGAGAAGCATAGAGAAATAGAGCAAAAACACAGAGGCGAGTGGATAGACAAAAAAAAAGAAATAGTCCAGCATAGCACAGTGGAAATATAACGAACGCTCAATATTCTCACTGTCAAAATACAGTGCAGCTTCAAGTTCTAAGAAATATTCCAAACGGCTAAAAACATATTACCCTCAGAAATATTCCAAGAGCAACAAAAACTAGCGAACGGCTGTTGCTTATTGAAAGTTAGTCTTGTCCGTGCTGTGTGTTGATCACTGCACGTTCAGAAGCTATCGCTATTATCCAATACTCAAAGTTACTCATCAATTTTGAAAATTGAGGAAAAAAATCAAATTTCACCTTCCTAGTCCACACGAAACGTTTTCGAAGAACTTTACGACGATCCTGCATTTAATAATAATCAAGATGACTATATTGAATGATAGAAAAACAGTCCTGACACCTTACTGATAAAGTTGCCAAAAAATAATGATGATTGTCTTAGAGGGGGCAGCCAGTAGGAAAGTATGTGCTAGTCGGCAGCTAGGGCGTGGTTTCTGGCTCCTACTAGCCACGCCTTCATAATCTTTCTCTCTTTCATTCCTCTCCAGTTCGTTGTGTATTCCCTTCTCTTTTTCGCATTACGGCTGTCGGTATCATTGTCAATGTCATGATGAAAAAGGAAAAAAAATGTAAGACAGGGATGGAAATATGGAGATATAGTACTAAAGAGAAACAGAGAGGAAAGAGAGAAAGAGGAAGATAAAGAGAATGAAAGAAGATAAAGAGAGATACAGAAAAATAAAAAAAAACAGAGCCTAGAGAGTGAGATAAGAGGGGGAGCTTTTCCTTCCCCCGTGACTAATTTTCCTTAGTAGTATATAGTAAAAAAGAATAATCAACAAATCCCCACATCCGATCAGGCCAAAAGATGGTTATTCCTTATTCCAGTTTGACGTCATTTGCATTTAGATAACCAAAACATCAAAACCACTTTACTTAAACATTTCGAGAGAAGATCATGGATAACCATAGCCAAGGATATATCATCTATATAGCTATGGCTTCTGATGAAACTGTGGAAACGACGCTCCACTACTTCATTCATAAATGTTCAGACATGTAAAGCGGTTGTATCAACAAGTTTCCCACTCTTAGCTTTTTTTCTCTCTCTCTCTTCCTCCCTCGTAACTCTCTCAGTTTCGCTCATTGTACGATCCCTCTCAGCTTGGGCAGAATCAAAGAGGTGCGAAAGATTTTTTGTTACCGATTCCAAGACAAAAGTAAACATTCTCAATAATTTTTAAACATTTGTCATTGCTAGACCACTGTCTGGGGTTGTTAAGGAAATTGGGGAATCGACCAACTGGGATATCGTGGAGAATAAGTTTTCAGTCTTCAAATTTTCTCAGAACAGAACGTACCCGCAGCTCAACAGCTTCCTCTTGTTCTTTCGTTCTCTTAGCCAGATAGTCCTTTTCCAATCTGGAAACAATATTTTTGATACAAAAATCTTATTTTACACATACTTTTTCATTTTTTTCGGGTTAAGCTGAACCTGATGAGCGACTGTGAAAAGCAAATCAGCATCGTTCTCATAACGTTCCCGAATTTCACGTTGAAAATACTGAAAGCAGAATAGTTATGAAAAAAGAGGTGGTTAAGCATACTTTAAGCATTCCTTCCATATCTAATCTCAGTAAATCTATACGGGCTTGTTGTAAAATAGACATGGCAATACAGAAGACGAAATCCATTCCCTGAACGACAGAATGTTTCAAACGAAAACGAAGACAGAATGTTACTTCAACAAGGAAAGAATCCATTATTCTATTGGCTATTTCCAGAGGCAAGGTTGTTGTGAATAAAGTTAGAAACCAGGATGAAGCATACATTGAAGTATCAAATCCCATGTTGTTGAAATGAGTATATAAATCAGGCATCTTCAAATTATTTTTATGATAACAAAAATCAATCAATCGTTGTCACCTGTTCTTGAACTAAACATTCTAATTGGAACATACATAATCCCAAATCAGTCATAGTTGGTTTGTATAATTCACGTAAGCGATAGTTCTCCATAAGGCGAACCAGAACAGCGAATGCTTCTTCTTCCGGCATTTGCATTAACAGTAAGCCGACTATAAACGCACTTCCTTGACAATATCCAACCTCTTTGTCATGAAGAGAATAAGCCTGTAGAGAGTAAGGATAAAAAAACAAATGAAACGCTGATTACTTTAATAACATTGAAGAGAGCCGATTGGCCTCGACCTCCGTCTTTGAAGAACTCTAATTCAGGATAAGTTCGAGGTATATCTCGTTGAATAGCTTTTTCATATACAGAAGTTTGTCTCATATAATCAGAATACACTTCGTGAATTGTAGATACAGAAGCATTAGACAGCAGCTGCCAAGCTATTGTCCGGAAATGTTGGGGAATACCCCTTTTGACCAAAGACTTAAATAAGAAAAATGTTATTCAATATTTTTAAAAACGAGTGCAACCTTAATGTATTGGGGACGCTTCTTCACTTCATATTCCCAATTTCGTATTAATTCCCCCCAAACTGTCCATAAATCTTCTTCTTCATCTTCAGTTGGAGAAGTATCTCGAGCTTTTGGGGAGCCGGAGGACCCGCTCTTCTTAGAAGCTACACTACGACTATCTTCCTCATTAGACCTGAAATATTTTTTTATATTTTAAACAGAAAAGGAAACAAAGAAAAAAAGCAAACAATTTGATTGACCACGTGAAAAGTCAAAAAAAATAATGTCAACCCCCCATGAACAAAAGAAACAGGATTTGAAAATGAAAATAAATAAACAATCATCTCTGTTCTGAGATTTAAAAAAAAGAAGAAAAGTAAAATGCTTGTAGTTCAAAATTACCTATTTAGTTGTTCCATTTTTGCGAGAATTTCTTCAGCTAGTGGTGCTGGACCGCCGCCTTCAGTGTCTGAGGGCGGCAACGTTTCACAGTCCGTATCTGCTGATCCTGAAGCAAAAATACTTATAAAAAAACCAATTAATGCAAAAAAAGAAAAGAACTAAGAGAATTAAGGACGATCAAATCGCCAATTATCAACTCTCTAACTAGCCACAGATTATAGTTGGGAATGGGGGGATGCGCCGGGTAGAATGGGGGGGGGGGGGGGGGGGGAAAAAATTTGGTAATCGG